TCCTCCATTATATTTGGGGTAGAAAACACGTTTTCACCGCAAACACAGCTTGATAACAAAGTTCTGTTTATAAACAAGTAACATAGCAACAACCTAGCAACAAGAAAACTCTACTATAATCAACGGTACCTGATTCAAATATACCGGGAAGGTAATGAATTGGTACATTTTTCCGTTTCAAAAATGAACAAAATTTTATTGAAATCGGTCAGAAATAAAATTATCTATGTACCACGGGAATTAATGAGCCTTAATAACCTCAGGCAATTGCTGTCCCTCGGGCCAGAGGCCCTCGGGACGCAAACTTTACCATCGGTAATTAAGGCCCTCCTAATTCCCTTGATACATAAATAACTTTAAATCTCGATAAATATCGATAAGACCATCAGTCAGTATAATAACAGACGAGCCGGTAAGATAATTTTCGCCACTCATTGCTTTAGTAACATCTTCAAGAGGGCGAAGTATTGGAATTAGTTCTTTCACGAAATTCCATTCCTCAACAGAAATAATGGGTACATTATGTTCAGAGAGTGTCATCGTCATACGGATAGGCTCTTCAAGTTCTACAAACCTTTCAACCATGAAATAAGTGGAATTCCATTTTATTGAAACATCTTGGATGGGTCTTTTTACTAATTCGATTTTCATTAATTTTTGCTGATCAAATAATTTTTTCATGGCAGATAAACTTCTTCTGAAGTGGCAAACAATTTTCCTAACTTTCTGCAATATTCCAGAAGCGTGGAATAATAAATCATGTGCAATGAGATTCAGTGTGTGGGCATAACACCCAAAATGTTCGAGACGCAATTCATCTTTTATTGCCTTCTTAATATTACTTGCATTATCCGAAATCATTATTAATATTTTACTTTCTAATTCCCATTCAGTTATAATATTTTTGAGTACCCTAGCTGAATTCACAGCAGTATGACTCTCCCCAAATGACTCACAGCCTAAAATCATGTGTTTTAGCTCAAAGTTGTCATTGAGAAAATGAGCAGTTACCGCCAAAAAATTTTCAGTAGCAGAAGAAGTCCAACAGTCAGTAGTTAACGTGACTGACTTCACAGTTCTCATTATAACTTTGGTTTTTTGCTTTTATTACTATAAATCATTCAATTTGTGTTCATTGGCTATTTATTCTAATACATTTCATAAACTTGCTTTGTATTATTATTCAAACCATAGTTATTGTCTTATTATTGTCATTATCATCACCAATTAATTAAAAATGAAAATATGTTTTACTCATATCTTTTATAATTTCCCATTTAACTCCATAAATATGCCTTTTTAGATACCAGAAGCAAAAAATGTGAAAAAAAACGAGTTTGGAACAAAAAAGATTATTGTTATTTTTGCAACAATGAAGTTCTGAAATTTTCACGTCACATTTTAAGACATCATCAAATGGAACATGAAGTTCAAGAAATATTATCATTCAATGTTGGTCATAGAAGAAGAAAGGAATTATTCACTAGGCTCAGAAATACGGGAAATTTTTTAAAAAGTTCTAGCAGTGAAATTATTGTTCCGGTGAGAAAACCTGCAGAGAGCGATTTGGAGCAACCAACTACGGACACATATCTTCCATGTAAATTCTGCAAGGGGTTTTACAAGAGAAAGACTCTTTATAGACATATTGCGAAATGTCCTGATAATTGCGATGATAAAAAATTGAGAAGTAATGCGCAAAGTGAAGGACAATCACTTTTTTCTAAATATAAAAACAACGATATTTTACGAAAATATATATTCCCAAGCATGAGAGCAGATGAATTATCTTTAACAGCAAAAAAAGATATGCTAATATGTGCTGTAGCAAAAAGATATTTGAAAAGTCATCGCGATAAACACTTTCGTGCTATTGCTTCCCGCAAAATGAGACAACTGGCAGCTTTGTTGATAGAAATAAAAAAGAAAATCAAGGTTACAAATTTATTTGCAGCTTTGGATCCATTGAACTTTGATATACTTGTGGAATGTACTAAAATAATATCCAGATATAATGCGGAAACTCAATCTTATGGAGCTCCATCATTGGCATCTCATATGGGTACTGAGTTGAAAGATTGTATTGATGTCGCTTCCAACATGGCACTTAAAAAATATCGACAAGATAATAGTGACATAAATAAATTGAAGAATCTAAGAGAACTTATTGACAAAGAATGGCGTTTTGAAGTTTCTACAGAAGCAAATAATGACTTGAAACAAAAAAATTGGAATAAACCATCTCTCATTCCTCTAGCGGAAGATCTCACTACTTTGAAAAATTACACACTGAAAGAAGGTGAAAGATATAGAAATGTTTTACAGCAAAACCCACATGACAAAAAGTCCTTCAAAAATTTGTTAGAAATCACATACGTGCAATTACTCTTATTGAACAGACGAAGAATTGGTGAACTGGAAAGAATGACTGTACCATCATATATTACAAATATCAATAACCAAAGTTCTGATGAGTTCAACAGCTGTATCACTGAAAATGAAAAGGTTCTTATGAAATCTTTCAGAAGAGTTGTGATAAGAGGGAAGAGGGGAAGAGGAGTTCCAGTTTTATTTACAGATGAGATGGTCAAAAATACAGATTTATTATTAAGTATCCGAAGTCATTTCCTTTTAGAAAAAAATATTTTCCTATTTCCCAATACAAAATCCTCCAATAGCATTTGCGGGTCGAAGGCGATTTACAAACACGTGAGACTTGCTGGAGTGAAAAATGCAGCTGCTTTGACGTCAACTAGATTACGCAAACACCTTGCGACAATGTCACAGGTCATCAATTTGTCACCACAAGATTTAGAGCAATTAGCATGTTTTATGGGACATACTTCTGAAATCCATAAAGCGTACTATAGGTTGCCAAGTGATGTATACCAAATGGCAAAGGTATCTAAATTATTACTCCTCAATGAAAGGGGAGAACCTTCCAAATATAAGGGAAAGAGTCTTGAAGAGATAAATATCGATTTAGATATAGAAGAAGACGACTCAGAAGATGATCAAAATGAAGAATCAACCATAAAAAATGAATGTACAGGGAATAGATCAACAGGTGCACGAAATATTGTAAGTTAAATTATATTTCATTATTGCTAAATTTAATATTGGTTTTTGGATTAGCAGAAACAATTGGATTCATCTGACAAGGATTTTCGGGTCAAGAAGAAACGCATTCTCCAATCATGGACGGACTGCCAAAAAAAAGTTGCCCTTTCTTTCTTCAAGAATCACTTGAAAAACAAAATTCCACCGAAGAAGAAAGAATGCCTTCAGTTGGTAANGTAAAAAATCTATTATTAGACAGAGCCTATTACAGTCTGAATGAATACTTTAGTGAAACACTAGAATAATCCTTATTTAATTTCCATATGTCGCATAGTGTTGCTCATCTTTTATTATGTATAGTTGTGTAGATTTATATAGTATTAAGTGTGACATGTTACCTTTTATTAACAAGTTTAATTGTTGTTGACATATTTTCTCTGGTATCAGTGCTATGTATATTTTATATTTTTTTTAATTTTTTAACTTTGTAACCATGATGTTATTCATGAACAATAAAGTACTTTCTCTCTCATACACACACAAATGGTTATTAGTTGATGAAGTAGATGGCCAAATTCGATTTTTTTATAATTTAACATCATATGAATTTGTTTTTTTTTCTCAACAGTCAACATTCCAGAAGTTTTGATTTGATTATGAAAATATTACTATCAAATAATAATTATTCAGAGATAAAGAACTATTGTTAAGAAAAAAATATGTTTCACCTTACTCGTGAAAATGTATTCATTGAAAACTTTCCCAGAAGTGAATATACAAATTTTCATTTTGAAGACTTCATCTATGGAATCAACAGAACCCAGAATTTCGAAATCAACTGCCAAATTATATGTAGCTTTTATTGCAACCACCTAGATCAGGGGTCTTCAANAAAGCGTAAGTTTGCTTAGGTCACGCACTTTGCGACTATCCTAGTCTAGAAATATAGTCAAGGGCAGAAATTGGCCCTTGGAACAAACTGAAAAAATCATTATGGCCCGAAGGCTTCAAAGTTTGGAGACCCCTGACCTAGATGATATGAGAGCTCAAAAATGTTCCAGTGTTGATTCAATTCCGGAAAGCATTGCTATGGTCTGTCACAGATCTCATTAACTGTACTCAACAAAAAACAATCCTCAATAGAAAGTGGGTATGTCGATTCATTTTGTGAAGTTGCTATACCGGGTGATAACGGCGCCGTGTGACACGGCGCCACTCAATTGTTTATGTAGTAAGAAATTTGAAATTTGGAGTTCATCGAAGCTGATATTTTTTACAATAAAACTCATGAAAATCTTCACAGAGTCAGAATGAAAAGTGTCATTTTTAAGAAGTTATCATCTCACAATGAGAGCTTTGACCATTTCACTTTTTCACTGGCATAGAAAAATGAACAGATTAGTATCTGCGACATTTTTTGTAGTATAAGAGAATCACTTCGAAGTCAAAAAATACAACTTTCCATTTAGATTTTCGAGATAAATGATGTAAAAAATGTCGTTTAATAAATTTCATAAAAAGTACGTAAATGAGCGAAAAATTTTAGTTTTTCTAATTTTACTCAAAAACTAAGCAAACTTCGTCGTTAGTTTCATCCTACATCGAGTTGACAATATTTCTGTATGTGACGTCATGCTATATTCGACAGAAATGGGCACTTATGATATACAGTGCGGTCCATATGTATGGAATAAATTCATTTTAGCGTTATTATGTACTATGTAAAAAAAACCTGAAACAGGTCGATTTTTATTCTCAAATTGACAATTTACAATATGAAAATATTATCCCCCTCCAGCACCCCTTCTGAATTATAAGCACCCCTCGAAAATTTTAAATAGCAAGGCGGTCGTGTGGCACTTTGTTGGAAAGGGATTTTAGTCCTCTGATCAGCAATATAAAGTTTTTTAAGTTTGGTGCAATCATAACTGAGAAAATTAATTTTTACAATTAAATTAAATGTTCAAAATGACCACCATTATTCTTCACAATAACCTGATCTATTAAACAGACCATCCCTGTAACACGCTCCTTACTAACCTTGAATCCTGGAAAAAATCTTTGAAGATTTTAAAATATTAGACAAAAAGACAAATAAACAATTGATATGAATCTATTAGGCTGCTGTCATTTAGGTATTTAAAGTTACTAAAAGACGTCAGTATAATATTTGTGGGCGTATTAAATTTAATTATGGCTCATTTGTCCGAGACTCAAATGCATAAAGAAAAATACCACCCTTACAAAGTTCAGTTGGTTCAGGAGTTGAATGAAGATGATCCTGATAGATGGCAAGAATTCTGTGAATTGATGATGGACAGATTGAACGCAGATTTGCAGTTCATAAACAAAATAGTGTTTTCTGATGAAGCGACGTTTCATTTAAACGGAACAGTTAACAGACAGAACTGTAGATATTGGAGCAGAGAAAATTCTCACTGGATGTGTGCGACTCACACTTAATATCCTAAAAAAGTTAACGTTTGGGCTGGTATCATTAACAATAAAATGATTGGCCTTTATTTGTTTGAGGGCACTGTTAATGGTGAGGTTTATCTAGATTTTTTGATTAACTTCTTAGTACCTACATTACAAATACATTTTCCTGATGTTAATCATCCAAATGAGATAGATCGAACTATTCACTACTAACAAGACGGAGCTCCACCGCATTTTGCACGTAGTTAGAAATTATTTAAACGAGGTTTTTCCCAATAGGTGAATTGGAAGACGTGGAACGATCGAATGGCCGGCTAGATCCCCCAATTTGACTCCTCTCGATTACTTCTTATGGGGTTATCTAAAATCTAAAGTATATTTTAATAGACCAAACAATATTGATGATTTAAAAGTTAGGATAACGGAAGAAATTATCAAAATAACCCCGAGGTCATACAAAATGTTGTACGAGAATTCCAAAATCGCCTCGGTTATTGTCAAGAAGTTATTGGTGGTCATTTTGAACATTTAATTTAATTGTAAAGTTTTCGAGTAAATTGTCAATTCAAGAATAAATATCGAACTGTTTCAGGTTTTTTTTCACAAAGTACACAACGCTAAAAATGAATTTGTTCCATACATATGGACCGCACACCGTATATGATTTCGTTAATACTCGGTATAGACAGATAATTCGAATCATGCTATCACGAAGTCCAGCTTCGTTATTAATTACTGAATGAAAAATCGCTTTCAGATTCTCTCTTCAGCTTCCATTTATCGAGAATATATCCAGTTGAAGGTGGAGTGATTCTACTTCGTAACATAGCTGAGCAAACTACAAATAGCCATGATGCTCCTAGGTTGCTCAGAGAGTTATTAACACACCCTACTCAGAAGAAACTGATAATTTTAGTAGTCAATGCCAAAGACATAAAAAAGACAACAAAATTTTTGTTATAATTTCGAAGGCATATGCCATATTTTATCAATTGAGAAACAGTTTTGTGAATGAAATTAAACATTTTCAAAAATCAATGTGAAAGTCGAAGGAGATTTTACTTGAGCTGAACTTTCTATTTTTTAATTTGCCTACAAAAGGAATGGAAATCAGTACGAAGAGTTATGACAACAAATTTAGAACTGAGTTTCTATAGTGTATAATTTTAATTGAAGTTTACTTAGAGGTTTCTTCTGTCTGTATTTATATATACATTTTTTTTCGGTTAGCTTTTAATCAAATGCGATAAAACTAGAAAATATATATTCGATCAATTATTCAGACCTCAACCATTCTTTGAAGTGAGAAATTCAACATACTCAACTGATGTAAAATATTATCAAAAATTACAACAAATACAAGTGGTGAAATGGCACAGCGGTAGTGTGCCAGCAGGTTTTGAGTTCGAATCTGCCTTCGACTACATATTTTTCTCGAGCGTCGCTGATGTAAAAATAAAAATAACAAATGGAATAGAATGAGTTGAATCAGTAACTTTATATTCGTATACAAAACCGTTTTGTTGTCTCCTTATTTTCACAAACATTGATATCAACTGTAATCAACCATTGATACAAACGTAAGTATTTCTGAATTCCAAGTGAACTTGGTCTTACAAAGTCACCGACAAAGAGAGGACAGCGCTATATTGCAATATCTCCGGGTCTCACTTCGCACGCAGCAATTAAATCGAAGGCACCTTTGGAATACACGAATGAAAATATACGAAAGGAACAGCGACCTCAAGTGCCCAACCATTGAACTGAAATATATGCGGCGAACAGGTTTTCATACCAAATGAGGTCCATTTTTTTTTGCGAAATGACAATATCTTTTGATGAAATATATGTATATATATATATACAGCGTGACTCACGGTCGATGGTAGGTTAGACGCAAAGCATGATTTTTCTGAAAATTTCACCTCTCACATTTCCTTACCTGTTCTATCGATCTAAAATATTTTCAGCATTGCGGCGTTGCCACTTCCATCAAAAAGTCTTAGGAACTTTATTTTTTTAAATGGAAAACCCCGCATATTAATACATTTTTGGAATCGCTCTGGTATTTTAATACTTTTTCGTTAATAATATCCTATACCTATCTCAATCTGTTTTCGAGTTAAAAAATAAATTGTGCTGAATATGGTCCAAAACATAGCCTCAATTGAAATTGAGTACAATTCTTGAAAAGTTGACATTTTGATGATAGTTTGGACAAAATCGAAATATTCAAATAACACCAAGAAATCGACTCCATATCATACAGGGCGTGCTAAAATTACTATTATTTCCATTATGCATAAAAGTAGTCAAAAGTTCATTTTTTCAGATGAAACCCCCTTATATTACTCAGTAAATTGAAAGATGGTGAAAAATGCTTCAAGATGATATATCATGTTCCCTATACCTAAATCGTCAAGTTTTCTCAATAAAGTCGCTTCTTCTATTTTTTTTTTTAGAATTTGGATTTAGGTAGCAGTGAAATTATCAAGCTTATAGCACTTCGTTTACTTTTATAAGTAATTTACAAAGAGTTATCGACGGTGTTTCAAATCATCTTCCAAAATGAATGCAAATATCGATTATTCAAACGATGTTCTTATGAAATTATTTATTATACACATGAACAAAATGATCAAATCATTGTCAGAACGTGTCAAAAATTCAACCAAATGTATCCTGAATTAACACCAATGAACGAGAGGAAAATCATTAACCCTGTTTCTAAAGGTCTACAGCATGAAAATAATGACTTACAAAAAACTAGTAGTCTATTAAGTAATCTTT